CCGGTTCAGTTTGAAACGGATCGGTTTTAGGGGCGGGTTTACCCAGGTTGATGACGGTTCGGTTTACAAACAGTTTGGATCATGCCGGTTTGGTTTGAAACGGGTCGGTTTAGGGGCGGGTTTTACCCTGGTCACTGTTGGTTCGGTTTATAAACGGTACGGATCATGTCGGTTCGGTTTGAAATGGGCCGGTTTAGGGGCGGGTTTACCCCAGTCCAATGTCGGTTCGGTTTATAAACGGTTCGGATCATGCCGGTTCGGTTTATAAGCGGTTTGGGTCATGAATTCATGAATCATGATTGTTTTAAAGATCGCGTCATGACCATGATTTAATGAGTTGATACTTAGAATACAATAAATCGATAATTAAGGAAGTACAAGTACTCAATTAGATCGATCAACAAATGTTTTAAATTTTTAAGTTTTAACATATATGTTTATCGATTATACGTACATAGTTACATAGTTACATACTTAATTACTTACATACCAATGATTCAATGAGGCAATGAGCCAATGATACTATGATACCAATCGTACATTCATACCATACTACCATATGATATACATAATACATATACATTAACAATATCGTATTGAATCAATTTCAATTTCCAAACATTTGCATATCTTATAATTTATAAGTTACACACTTACACGAGATTAAATGGATTATTTATTTAGTTTGGTACTTTATTTAGATTACTAACTCAAACAACTTGATAAGTTAAATGGACGAAATGACATAATGACTAAAGTGGTGATGAAATCATTATGCAATACTAATGTACAATTAGTCAAATAATCAACGGTTAGATTGAATGCCCATGAAAAAAAAACAGTTAGATTTCATTACTTTATTAGTTACTACTCATTACTTTATTAGTTATTACTTATTACTTTATTAGACTTATTCTTATACTCTTATTACTTATTAAGTTATTAGTTTATTACATTTAAAGTCACAGACTCACAGATATATTCATATATATAGTTATACATAGAGATGTTAGATATTGATGTACATTAAGTCATTAGCTATGTCATATTGAATTCATTCAATTTTGTTTCATTTGTGTTTCTTACAATTTATAAGTATATACATAATACATATACATTAACAATATGTCAATATCGTATTGTATCAATTTCAATTTCCAAACATTTGCATTTCTTATAATTTATAAGTTACACACTTACACGAGATTAAATGAATTATTTATTTAGTTTGGTACTTTGTTTAGATTACTAATTCAAACAACTTGATAAGTTAAATGGACGAAATGACGAAATCACTAAAGTGGTGATGAAATCATTATGCAAGAGCAATACTAATGTACAGATAGTCAAATAGTCAAATGGTCAAATATACAACGGTTAGATTGAATGCCCATGAAAAACAACAGTTAGATTTCATTACTTTATTAGTTACTACTTATTACTTATTAGTTATTACTTATTACTTTATTAGTCTTACTCTTATTAGTTATTAGTTTATTACTTATTAAGTTATTATTTTATTATATTTAAAGTCACAGACTCACTGATATATTCATATATATAGTTATACACTTATACATAGAGATGTTAGATATTGATGTACATTAACGTCATTAAGTCATTAATTATGTCATATTGAATTAATTTCAATTTTGTTTCATTTGTGTTTCTTACAATTTATAAGTAATTGTAATATTAATAATAATAATAATAATAATAATAATAATAATGATAATAATATTAATAATAATAATATAATACTTATAATAAGAATATTAACATAAATTATATTAACATTCTAACAATAATAATACTATTAATAATAATAATAATAATAATAATAATAACCTCAAAATAATAATAATAATAATAATAATAATAATAATAATAATTATAGTAACCTCAAAATAATAAAATAATTAATAATAGTTTTCAAAAAAAAAATAATAATAATATATTAATATATTTTAATAAAAAAAGGAAAAAGTCTCGAAAAAAAAATAAGACCGTTGATAAAGCTGGCATGTTGCATGAACATTCTGGAACCAGACCTTTATTACTTTATTACTACCAAAAAAAAAATGAACAGTGAGATGCTGAGATTAAAAATGGACGGTTAGATTAGGAGAAGAAGTAAAACCTAAAACTAAACCTAGAGAAAACTCACTAGCACACAGGCCTCATTTGTCATTTCCTCATCTCTCTGATATTCTCAAACATCTCTCTCTCTCTCCTAACCTCCTAACCCTAGCTATCTCCCTCTTCATCTGAATCTCTCAAGCTTTCTCAAATTCTCAGTTCTCACGCCTATGAAACTCTCATTTCCTCATCTGATATTTTCATTTAGTCTTAAAATTTCAGATTTTTTTTTTGGAAGGTCTAATTCTTTTGTTCATTTATTCCGAATTGATTAATTTCTGTTTTTTTTTAGATCTGTCATATACTCATATTCTACTCACGGCAATATAAGGTATTTGTATTTTTCATTCTCATTCTAAGTTCCGATTTTTTTTTTTGTTGAAAACTTCTAATTTCCTATTTTTTGTTCTAAGTTCTGTTTTTTCTGGTTTATTGTAGATCTTTTTTCTGGATATTCTCAAACTTCGAATTTTTCTGGTATTTTTCTGGTTTTTTATAAGTTCTATTTATTCTGGTTTATGAGTTTATCTGCCTTTTTTTTTAATTTTAATTTTTTTTTTCTTTTTTTTGTAGATCTTTCATATTCTCTACTCACGGACGATATAAGGTATTTGTATTTTTCATTCTCATTCTAAGTTCCTATTATTTTTTCTAAGTTCTGTTTTTTCATTTATTATTTTGTAAATTATAATTTCTGATTTTTTTTTTGAAAGTTCTAGTTCTTTTGTTCATTTTTTGTTTTGCAATGTATATTTTGTGATTTTTTTTTTTTGATACGTAAATTTTTTTTTTTTTTTTTTTGTAGATTTGGTATTTGTATTATGGTTGTGTTATGTTGGTTGTTTTGCAATGTATAGTCGCTAGATCTTGATTTTCACAGGGAGGGGAATTGAATTATGGTTGTGTTGTGTTGTGTTGTGTTGGTTGATTTGGTTGCAATTTTTATGCGATTAACGGGTTACGGTTTTGTCTGTGTGAACATAATTCATGTGATTAATTGGTTTGAAGGGAGAAGGATTACTCTGGTTCACCTCAAATGAGTAGACACGTTTGTTTCACTTAGCTAGTGCAGCTTTCTAGTCTTTTAGAGAATTCTTATCGAAATATATTGACATTTCTGTTGAATAAGGAATTAGGGGGGTGGTAGAAGGACGAGGAGTATTTTGGCAGCTGTGAGCAGGATGCTAATGAAGAGTGGCCATAGTAATCAGTAAATGTTGTGATGTGTTGTTGAATGAGAATTAGTTTTGGCATTTACATTGATGCTAGCTGTTTTGAGAGTGGATTAATTTTATTTTTATTTTTTGTTGTTGGTGTTGTTGTTGTTGAAGGAACAACTTCTGTTTTCTTAATTTGGTTCATTTTTACTTATTGTAGCCACTACAGATGTGCATTTGCATTGAGTTAACTTATTTTCTCTAATTAACTACAATATTTGTTTTCTCTTAGGTGCTTAATTGTATTATCTAGAAGCTACACAATTTCTTCAATAAGTCCCCATTCTGCTAATCTTATTCTGCTTAAAGTTAGTACTTAAAGTTAGTATACTTGTTATGTACTTAAAATGTATACTTGTATGATTGGCTTAAAGTTGGCTTAAAGTTGGCTTAAAGTTAGTACTTAAAATGTACACATATGTCAGTCACATGAGACAATGCATGCTTAATTGCTCACTATTAGTAGAATCTGTCACTTAATTTTGGTACTTATAAATGCTGTTTTTTTTTTTTTTGTTTCAATCATGTCTTGCGAGTATGATGAATTTGACTATGAGAGGCAATCAAATTTTGATACTGTTAGCTCTCAAGCTGCCTCTGTCCCACTCCCGTTGATGATGCTAGTAATACCGGCACTATCAATCCTTCTGTTAATAAACGTCAAAGAACCGCGGGTATATGGAAGCATTACACTTTTTTTGTAAAGACGATAGGTAATGAAAAGGTAGATTATGCTCATTGTAATTTGTGTGGCAAAGAATATAAAGCACCTGGTAAAGCGAGTACTTCAACTTGTAGAGCTCATATTAATGCATGTTTGGAAAAGCATGGTCTCCAGTCCGGTAACGAATCACAATTTGATCAAAAAACTTATTTACAAAAGTTTGCTAAAGCTATTATCTGCCATGCATATCCTTTAAATATGTAGAGCATGAATATCTTAGGGAACTTCATGCATATTTGAATCCTAAGGTGCAGCATGTTTGTAGAAAAACTATGTTAAAGTATGTTATTGCTGAGCATGATAAATATAAATCCTTGTTGCATGAGTCTTTGGCTAATGTTTCTGGTAGAGTTAGCTTTACATGTGACTTGTGGACTGCATGTACTAACCGAGGCTATCTCACTTTGACTGCTCATTATGTTGATAACAGTTGGTCTCTTAGGTCTAAAATTTTAAATTTTAGATATTGTGGCCCTCCCCATACTGGTGTTGAGGTTGGAAAGTTTGTGTTTAAACTGATTAAAGAGTGGAACCTTCAAGGTAAATTTTAAATTTTAGATATTGTGGCCCTCCCCATAATGCTCGTTCTATGGATGTTATGGTTGAATATTTGAAAAAAGAATTAATGCAATGCTCTCCTCTTCCTTGTAATGGGAAATTCTTTTATGTTCGATGTTCAGCTCATGTTTTAAATCTTATTGTTCAAAGAGGTTTAAAAGAAGTTCATGAAAGTGTTGAAAAATTGCGTGAGGTTGTTAAATATATTGATGCTTCTGATTCTAGATTAAATCAATTTGAGAATGCTTTGTCTGAGTTAGACTCTGCTTTTAATGGTAAGTTATGTCTCGATGTTGTGACTCATTGGAATGCCACTTATACAATGCTCCGAAAAGCCTTAGAAGCTAAGGATGCCTTGATTCTATATACTAGTAGGTTTTTGGGTATTTCTTATAGACTTGATGCTGATGAATGGGATACCATTCAAAAAATTTGTGATTTCCATCAGCCATTTAATGATATAACTGTGTTATTTTCTGGTACCGAATATCCCACTTCTAATTTGTATTTTGTTAGTGTTTTAAAAATTGAGTACGCTATTACTCAAGCCTTTAAAGACCCTAAACTTGCACCCATGGCAGCAGTTATGCTTGAGAAGTTTGAGAGTTATTGGGAGGATTATAGTTTGATACTTTCAGTTGCTATTGCTCTTGATCCTCGTTATAAGTTGTTTCGAGTGAGACATATGTTGAACTCGTTGTATAATGATGAGGCATGCGACGAAAAGATTATGATGATTAAGGAAGCTTTTTATGACCTTTATAAATTTTATTCTACTGCATCTAATACAAGCTGCAGAAATCCTGCCTCTTCAAACACAGCTCAATCTGAAAATTCTAATCGCACGTTGAGATCTCAAAATATGTTCACGGTATTTATGTTATACAATATACTCAATATCAATGGTAGTCTTCTATTTTTATTTGTAATATCATAATTTAACTTTTATAATAAAAAATCTGTTTCAGTTGCGTGAGGTTGATGACGAATGTGATGATTCAACTAGATGCCCTCTGGCTGATCTTGAGGCATATTTGAATGGACCTCGTTCGCGATTAATTCAAGGGGAACATTTTGACGTTCTCAAGTATTGGGAATCTCAAGCTTCTTCTCTTCCTATTTTAGCTAATATGGCAAGGGATGTTTTGGCCATTCCTATTACATCGGTGGCCTCTGAATCTTCTTTTAGTTTGGGTGGTCGTATTTTGAACAAATATAGGGGTAAACTTTTTCCAAAGAATGTTGAGGCATTGGTTACCACCAAAAATTGGTGTCGTGGTTATCAAGCGGATGTTGAGGAAGACGTCCTCCTTATTGGTAAAGAGATTGAAGCCGAAAGTGCTTCATCTGCATAACTGGTATTTGTGTCTCATTGTGGTTTATTTTATCTTGAAAAATCATTGCCCTTGTCATTTATTTTCAGACTTGCTGGCAGCATTTTTCAAGACTTTTAAAATCGTTGCCCTTGTCATTTATTTTCAGACTTGCTGGCAGCATTTTTCAAGACTTTTAAAATCGTTGCCCTTGTCATTTATGTTGAGACTTAAATAGTTAAATGTATTTTGGTACTTGCTGGCAGCATTTCTCAAGTTTTTATTAAAACAACCATTGCTCAGTGATGTAAATCTGAGAGCAATTTTAAAAAAACAAAAGCTATAATTTTGAAGTTGCTTGAACTTGTTATGAGCTGCTGCCTGCTGGTAGTGCTTTTGCCTTTTGGTTGTTGTCTCTGCTGAGTTGTTGCTGCTGTTGTTTTGTTGCTGTTGTTTCTTATGCTTGCTGCTGTTTTGTTGCTGCTGTTTCTTATGCTTGCTGTTTTAATTTTTCTTGAATCATCGTTGCCCTTGTCATTTATGTTGAGACTTCAATGTATATGTACTTGCTGGCAGCATTTTTCAAGTTTTAAGTTAAAACAGCCATTGCTCAGTGATGATACGATAAACGTAAATCTGAGAGCAATTTTGAAAAACAAAAATAAGTTCCTGCTGAGTCCCTTCTGCTTATATTATTCCTTGCTTCTGATAAGTTGATGATCTGTTATTGCGTGTGCTGGTTCCTGCTTGTTGCTGCTATTTCCTCTGCTCTTGGGTGCTGTGCTGCTGCTTCAAGATTTTGCTCCCAAATCACTCACATTCTCACTCCTCCCTTCATATTATCATGTATCATTTTTTGCAACCCTAAACTTGATGATATTTCAGTTGATAAATCTGAAATCTAATCTGGGTAGTAGTGATAGTAGTTTCATTATGTATTGGTATATGTATTGTGAATTTTAATCAATGAAAATGGTGACTTTTTTTAATTGCTTGTTGATATTACTCGAATTTTAATGCTATTTATCTGCTGGATTTGTGGTAATGTTATGAAATAATTGTGGCTACAGATTTGGGATGCCTCCGTATTTATTAAAATTCTTTTACTTAATATCTGGTTTAATTTAAGAAAAGCTAAAAAAATGTGTTTTATAAACATTTTAGTCCTCCCCTTTACAAAATACTTGTATAAGAAAGTTTTATAAAGTGATAATGTGAATGATTGTACGCCTTATTGACTAGTACAGTAATATTCTAATGCTTATGCCACTTGTGTAACGCAATCTCATACATCTCCAATCTTATGTTACCTTTGAGGCTTTGAGTGTTATTGGATGATCATGAATATCAAGGAACAATGAAGATAATTTGGGTGGACTAGCATTATTACTGGAATGAAAATGATACAAATGATATATCTTGTAATTAAAATAAATAAGTAATCTAAAACGATATTAATAATGTCGTTGGCCTAGATCTAGGTAATATAAACCTTTGTATAATCCTAAGCCGTTTGATTAGATCTACATTTATTAACATTAATTGTATTTACTATTTAGCCATTTAGGTTATAAATAATTCAGTTTGAATTAAGCAGTTTGTAATCGGATCAGTTTAAACAGGTTAGCGGATTATAACGGTACGGTTTATACGTGCGGTTTAAACGGTTTCGGTTCATAAACAGGTCGGTTTAAACGGTTAGCGGGTTACAAATGGTTCGGTTTAAACGGTTTTTTTTTTCGGTTTAAACGGTTTCGGTTTATAAACGGTTCGGGTCATTAACGGGTTTATATACCATTCGGTTCGGTTTCGTTTCGGTTCGGATTTGCGCAGTTTGGTTTGTTATCGGTTTACGGTCCGTAACGGGTTGAC